GGCCATTCGCTACCACTACCACCCCTGAACTTGATTTCAACTCCACTCCATACTTTGCTACCCTTGAGTACTACACAGACGGAATATGTATGACTTCTGTCTTTCTTCGTGATCAACTATCCACCTCTCTTGACTTAATGACAACCACTTACATTCCAAAAAGTTTTATGCAACTTTCTTTGAAATCCCTCTCCCCTATATTTGAAGAGAGCACAAAAATCTGTGGGCGGGAAAGTATTACCAAAACTCCCGCCTTTATAAATCGAAATTAATTGCAGTTGTATACCTCCAGTAGTACTTTAACTACAACCAATGGTACTATAATTACTCTGAATAAGTAACATTGGTACAACCCCTAACTGTACATAAACAGATTACAACGGTTTATATTTACTAGCAGTGGTACTAATATTGTGACAACTGTAGTTAATAAGTAAGACAAATGATCTTAGGACAATGGACAAAGTATGCTCTACAACGGTTTATATTTACTTTCAGTGGTACTAATATCTAATATTGTGACAACTGCAGTTAATAAGTAAGACAAATGATCTTAGGACAATGGACAAAGTATGCTCTACAACGATTTATATTTACTTGCAGTGGTACTAATATTGTGACAACTGTAGTTAATAAGTACGACAAATGATCATACGACAATGGACAATGTATGCACTATAAGAAATTGGGTGTAACACCAACCTTCATGCATGGGAAGATGTATTGATATGGTGTTAAGGCATTTAGCAATGGTATATCTTATGAAGAAATGCGGTTAATAGAAAATGGATCTCCGATAAAGACGGTTAATAGAAAATCAAGCTACAATTGGAGTTCTCTGCTAATGATGGTATTACGATTAACAAAAAATGACAAACTATTTTCGGTATATGTGCATAACAAAATCACTACCTAACAAAGATAAACCTAACTACACCACTACTATGTAGACGGACAAGCAAGGGTCGGATCCCAAGAACATATGGTTCAACCAATTAAATAGTCCCAAGAACATATGGTTCAACCAAGTAACAAAATAAAATGAATGAGAATCAATAACTAAAGAACTAATTAAAACGATTAAATGAAAACAATATGACAAATCAATGCTAAAAACATCCAAGATCAAGCTTCACCACGAATACAATTAATGCAATAGTCATTCAGGCGCAATGTAAGACTTATCATTTCACAACAAAATTAGAAGTCAGTTCTCCAATAAACATGATAGTTTTCATCATCAAATGGAACGCGAACATAATTTGGTATCTGAATATTTTGTATTTTTAGGGACTTTCAAATTGGGGTAAAATCATCTCAAGTAATGCCAATAATTTACTACAACACAACAACACAACACAGCTAGAGATGGAGAAGCATGAATATAGTTCTAGTAGTACCCTACAAAGTTTTAATGGACTACATGACTATTCCAATCATAGTTAAAATCAATACAAGTTGGATTTTTTGGTATTCCAGTGGTTCTTTTCCTCTCCCCAGCGTACTTGTGTAACTTATGATAATAAAACCCTAAACCCTAACCAACACTAAACCCTAAACCCTAGACCCTAACCCATAACCCTAAACAGAGTAATAGTACCCTACATGCCGTTAACGATATTTTTGTTATATACAGATAAACATTTACCTAGTGAAAGCTTTGTAACTGTAGTGGTATAACCGTAAATTACAGTAATGTTAAAATAGGCCCAGTAACATATGGATGAATTGCTCATATAAGTATATAAAAAGACAAAAAAAACGCGAAATAGGTTTGAATGGGTACAATACCTTCACAATAACTACATAATATGTCCTAAATGTTAGATTTAAATTAGTTTGTAAATCAGTTAGGTTGTAACGGAAATACAATTATGTAATAATGAACAAATACTATATATGTTAGTATAAACAACAAGTGCAAATACAAACAACAAGTGCAAATACAAACAAACACTATATTTGAGTATCAATTTCTCAGGTGTAAAATTGTTAAAATCATTTCTTTGGTACTAATCAGTTAGTCCCCATAACTAAGTGTACAAGTACTAATCCAAAGGAAGCCAAAAGGTTATTTATTAACATCCACTATATAAGGTGAGTATAATTAGTAACACAATCAAATGGTACCCTTCTCAATCTCAGTTGAACCCTTCATCATGGTAGTATAACTTACAAAGGTTATTTACATTAATAGTAAACTTAATTAAATAATACCCTTCTCAATCTCAGTTGAACCCTTTACCGTCTGTATATTCAGGTGGTACCAATTTCCTTTTCAGTTGTACCCTCTGCATGTAAAGCAGGACATGTATATGACAAATATTTTTCCATGATAGTTTACTATAACAATAGTTTATTCCGTTTCCATGCTAGTGGTACCCTTCTCCTTTTCAGTTGTACTCTTTGGTGGTTTAGTATAACAAAAGTTTATTCCATGCTAAGTGGTACCCTTATCTGTTCCGGTTGAACCCTTTGCATTTTCAGTACAACCGATTTTATTCATTCCAATTGTAATCTTTTTCTCGAATGTAAATATACACGATCAACATAATGTGCACACACACACCCTCGCAAAAAAAAAAGGCTTTGATCTTTTAGATAAAAAAAGAAATAAATGTTAGACAATTCTTACACCCAATTTTATCCATTTCGAGGCACCGATTTTATTCATATAGTTAGAGGGTTTGATCTTTTACATCAAAAAACAACTAAATGTGCACACACACACCCTCGCAAAAAAGGGGATCAATGTACTACAGATCACAAATACATAATGTCATCCTCCAAAAAAATACCCCAGGTGCTAACATAAAAGTTCTATTACACATGAGCAAAATAATTACACCATTTTCTTCATGTATTGCATTTCATCATTACGATTTCACTACTTTGCAGACATCGTCACTTGGGTATTGGCTGTACCATTAGCGTGTTGGTTAGTGCCGTTAGGACGAATACGGAGTTCATGAGGATGTTGGTTTGGATGTAGATATTGATGGTGGTAAGCCTGAACATACTGCTGATGGTGGTAAGGACCAAAGGGTAGGAACACAGGCTTAGGAGCAATGGGTCTGTAATTTCCGGAAGCATGTGGTGTTGCAGAATTACAACACATCCTTAAGCCTTCCTTCTTCATCAACTCAATATGTGTGAAAGAAATTTGAATTGTCATCTACCATTCTCTTAAAGTAAGAAAACATGGCTTTTGCATCACCTTCTTCAAATACCCTTTTCCTTTCCTTAGACACTTCATCATGTAAGTCTTTTTGCTCAAACTGCATCCCCTCCAACCTATTCCTGTGCCGAGCCATACTTCTGTAAATAGTAGAAACTGGCACCCCTGCCCTTCTTTCTTGAAATAGCTGCTTCACAATATGGGGATTTTCCACCAAAAACTTCTTGCGAAATTTACTTATACTCTTCGCTTTACTAGGGGTTGGACTATGCCCATCATGTTCCATTTTTGCCTTTGTTATCTCCCACTGACCTACACCATTCACATGTGCATATACAAACACAGGGCATTCACATTTTTTTGACTTTTGCTTAGGACACAACTCTTCATCCTCACTGATTTGAGCATCTGTGACTAAACCCACTTCACTCTCTTTCCTCTTTCGACCAGGCCTTCCATAGCTTTCACATGTCCACCTACAATTCCTCTTTGCCCCTTTTCCATTATTTGCACCGCTTGCACGCACAACACCAAACCCATTCTGTTGCCCATATTCCCTGAAATACTTATCCACTTCTATCATGGACTCAAAAACCATTCCAATGGATGGAGGTGGCAAAGCAACATCCATCTCCACTTCACCAGCCTCCTCAACCTGAATACTGATGGAGACATTGCCCTTCCCTTTCGTTGGAGTCTTAAAGGACTCCTCCCCTACAATTACCTAGTACACCATAACATAATACATTCACCTCACAAAGGTCAGCATTAAACATTAGGTCTAAAAATTTTGAGCACTTAACAATAACATATACTCACACAACTAGTCGAAATAAGTAAAACGAAAAGTACATGATCATCTAACAGAGAGCACTGACTACAGGGAGGACGATGCAATTCTGAGCAATTACATGACATACCAATACAACCAATCAAGTTACATGTATATATTGCAAATTTCTCATACAATTGCGCAGCACAACGAAGTCAATTATGCAACTTTTCATACGATTGTAAATTTACAAACCCTAATTTCCCCTTCCCCCCAATTTTCAGACAAACCCAGAATTACATATCCAAATTTAAGCAATTAAACAGTCACCTGATTTAAAAGCAACTCCAATGCCGTTGCGCAGTCCACTTCTCCACAGTCGTCATCTACGGCCTCTGGGATGCTCGGACCTAACTCACCACCGCTGTTGTACCGCTCGATATCCTCAGTTGTTTCCAGATACTCCATTACACTCCAACTGAGAATACTGTAACTTTTTCTTTATTTTTTAAACTCCATTTTTAAGGTTTTTTGGAGCTCAACAATGGAAGAAAAGTTGGTCAGCTTTTCGACATTAACTTTTGGAGGAAGAAGCTTCTTTTTTTCAAAATTACAGTGGGTCTCTCTCTCAGGAAGTACAACTGGTGGGGAAGGGTGAATTGTTTTTTTTTAATCAGTTATGGGTCCCACACCGTTACAAGTTTTTTACTATTCCGTTCACCTTTTCCCTCCATTTCCACAAACCGTTACAATAAAGTGGCTCTTTATTTACAATTTTGCCATGTTATGCACTTGCATATACATATCAAACCTCATTTAGTACTTCCCCATGTTGATATCTCTGTCTTTTGGCTTCAGTTGGACATTCGAGACCTTGTTGCTACCTTGTCAGATTCAGAAGGTTCCTAGGGTGACAGTTGCCTATGCTCATAGTTTGGCGGATTCTGCTCGTCGTCGGTCTTTGCTTTATTTTCGTTTTTAATTTTATTTAGTTAGTTTTGTTTGTGATTTGTGAGTTCTCTTTGAAAAAAAAAAAAAAAAAAAAAAAACGAGGCCGTATCTTTCAAAAAAAAAAAAATAAGAAAAAAAGAATTGAGGCCGTAATTAGTTAATACGTCATATACAAATATTCAATAGACAAAACATGTAACAATTGATAAATGTTCACATAATACAAGCATACAACTGGAAAGCACCTCAAACAAAGATGAACATTAACTGTGAGGACAAAGAGCAATGTCCACGCGTGTCCTAAAAATTCCATGCAATCGTGCCATCAGTCGACCACAACATGCATCGTCTCCACCGCTTCCCCCCTCCTCACCCTTATAGTGGTATGCACTCTTCCTCTAGTTTTTCTTCATCTCTGTCGTTTTTTAATCTCTTTCTTTAGTAGTTTTTAGTGGTAATTTGTGCGTCAATTATGGAGTTGATAAATACATTCCTGAATTTTGCAGCTCCTCCTTTTACTTTTATAGCATTGTGCTTTTTGTTGCCACCTTTTCAAATTCTCAAGTTTTTCTTGTCTGTCTTCTCCTCTGTCTTCCCTGAAGATGTTTCTGGCAAAGTCGTCCTAATCACCGGCGCTTCCTCTGGTATTGGCGAGGTAATTTTATTTTATTTACATCATCCTGCGCTATTTAAAAATATTACTTCCCCTTCTTCTTCAAAAAAAAAAAAAAAAAAAAAAAAAAAAAAAAAAAAATTACTTCCTCTGTTTCTCAAAGATCGACTTTTCACACTATTTATAATTTAACTTTGAATCATCAATATGTGTAATTATATACCATTAGCATAGTAAGATTGTATAAATTGCTATAGTATATGTGACAAATTTTCTTTACACATTAGTGAATAAATATCTCAAAAATATATAAACACCGTAAAAAGTTAAAGTTATGCATTAATGCATCCATTTGGAAATACTTGTCATAGTAGTCCAAGTTCTAATCAAGTTTTACATATATGTATGTTGTACATATTGCCTAATCAGTGCTTTTATAGATCCGAACCTTACATATCGATCATCTTATTTTATCCGTAAAAAACTTACATTTGTGCTGTGCCTTGTTTAATATTTTTTTTCATTTAAGTTTTTCTCAATTGCATAGTTCTTGGTCTTTAAAAGCTTACATTTGACTATTAACGTTTGCCCACAATTTAACTTTTGCACTATCAGTGTTTTATACTCTCTCCGTTCCTGAAAGTTCGACTCACTTTCACTTTGCACGGTCTCTAATAAACTATCTTTGACCATAAATATCTTCGGATATGTATAAGTTAAAATTATAAGGAAAAAAAATTAATATTTAAAAATATTACAATAAGGGAAATCTAATAAGATCCTACGTGCTAATTTCTTTTATATATTCTATAAATTATAGATTACGATCAAAGTTATTTTATTTTAAATGAATAGTAAGTTAGTCGAATTCTCAATAACGGAGGTAATAGGTGAGATTTAAAATAGAATATTTTTTAGCTCAATGTATATTTTTGAAAAATTAATCTTTTATATTTTATACTTCTAGAAATATTACTCCCTCCGTCCCTTATATTTTGCCCCATAGTGTAATGTTACTTTATTAAGTTTTGGTTGGAAAAAAGTGATGAGAGAGAAAAGTGGTGGGGTTAATGGGATCATTGTGAGAGTAGAAATGTGGACCCATATGTCCAAAAATAGAATGGGGCAAAATTAAAGGGACAGACTAAAAAGGAAGTTGGGGCAAAAATTAAGGGATAGAGGGAGTATTAATTAAAGTTTCAAGTAGGCAAATATGCAGTTAAATAGTTTATTTTGAAACAGAGGAAATATGTTAATACATGTTGATACAAATCAAATAATACCTTATATGGTAATATTTATTCTTATGAATCATCAATTATGAAAGGTATTCAAAATTATATAACTTGTCCATGTATGGTAACACACTGAGTACAAATTCTTAAATGAACCTGGTTCACAATAATTTATTGTGGACCACTAATATTAGGGACATTATAATTGTTTTATTAATAAATAAAAAGTCACTATATTAAAATAAAGGTTATTATGTTGAAATAAAAGTCTTTGTGACCATTTAAAAGCAATATGAGGTTAATTTTTTTTAGTAAAAATTTTAATATATTGGTCAATATAAATAATAAAGGTCACTGTGTTAAAATTAGGGTCACTATGTTCAACATAACTCGTAATTTAGGTTCATAATAACATTAAAGGTCACACAAGTTTTAATAAAGGTTATTATCTTAAAAATAAGATTACTATGTTAAAATTAGGGTCACTATATTCAATATAACATCAGTAACGTATATATAAACCTCAGGTCCATGCAAGATTTTCTGAACACTAAGACATTATGACATTATGAAATGGCTTAGATTGTTAACTACTTTTACGCAACTACATAATCAAAAATTAAACTACTTTGGGGTCATAACAGAGTAAAGGACATTCTTAAAAATTCTAGTCATATGGGTCAAAACTAGTTTTGTTACAATCAACATGATTAATTTTGTAATTGTAGTTTAGTACCTTGTACATAGGGACGAAATGATGAATTTACGCGTGAATTGAATTAATTTTTTGAAATTGGTACAGCATCTAGCCTATGAATATGCAGAAAGAGGTGCATGCTTAGTGCTTACAGCTAGAAGACAAGGAAGCCTAGATGAAGTTGCAGACTTATGTCTTCAGTTGGGCTCACCCGAAGCAATAGTGGTGCCTGGTGATGTTACCAAAGTCGAAGATTGTCGCCGAATCATTGAGGCTACTATAGGGCACTATGGAAGATGTATGAATCAAATCGTTTTCTTAATATTCAAATAACATTTACGATCATTTTTGAGCTGTTAATATTGCGTTTGAAGTACTGAAAGATAACAAGTTTGCCTTTCTTAATGCAGTGGACCATTTGGTCAATAATGCTGGTATTATCGGGGTTAGTCAATTTGACGATTTAGAAGATGTCACCAGAATGAGGCCTGTTATGGTAATAATACTTCATCCACTATGAACAAAAGAGGAATAATTTTTTATATGTTAATAACTTGTTAAGGCTAGAGTATGATGAAACATGTATCCTCTAGTTGTCACGTTAATAGTGTCATTTGAACTAGTAATGTTTTAATTATATTAGAAAGTGATACTCTTGTTAATTCTCAACTAATTCCTTGTCCAAATATTTTATTGTGATAATGCAGGACATTAATTTCTGGGGCTCAGTGTATATGACCCGATTTGCAATCCCATACCTCAAAAATACTGCTGGAAAAATTGTTGCTATGTCGTCTTCAGCGTCCTGGATGCCTGTACCGAGAGAAAGTTTCTACAATGTATATATACTTTTTATAAGAGAAAGTTTCTACAATGTATATATAGTTTTTATTAGCATCGTAAATAAGAATATGCAATCTTCAACATTTTAATCTATTGTCATTTGATCAGCTAACTCTGCTTCTTACCAAATTACAGGCAAGCAAAGCTGCAATGTTAGCGTTCTTTGAGACACTCAGGGTGGAACTAGGTTCCGAAGTTAAGATAACGATTGTTACACCCGGTATAATAGAGTCTGAGTTTTCCAAGGGCAAGGTCTGGACAGAGAGTGGCATGAAAGTGGATCAAGAATTAAGAGATGTAAGCTTTTCTAGTGTAACAATCTTTTAATTTGCAAGTACAACATTGAACAAGAATATCTGATCTAGTACTAATGATATTATGAGAATACAATTGACGTTGTGAAACTGATGTTTAATATGCAGGTACAAGTGAATGTAATACCAGTGGCAACGGTTGAAGGGACTGCAAAGTCCATCGTTCGCAGTGTATGCAGGGGTGATCGATACGTGACAGTCCCAGCATGGTTTAAAGTGACATACTTCTTGGAGATGTTATGCCCTGAGGTGCTCGAGTGGGCATATCGTTTGATGTTCCTAATAAGCACAGACAGTACACCAACAGGAGCAATGGGGAAACATACAGTGGATTTTCCCGGGGCAAAGGAAATGCTATATCCTGCTGGTATCCAGTCTGCAGATATCAAGAGGAAGTAAGTGAAGGGTTTTTAGTCTTGAAATCTCAAGATGAGTAACATCAAATTGCTTTGGGTTTTTGTGTTCTGATCTCTTAACGCTTTTATCTATGTAAAATGTAAGTCATCCTAAAAATTATGCAGATATTGTCAATAGTTAATAATGTTTTGTGGCAACATTTATGGTATAATTGGAATAAAGTTGTTTGAACTCAACTGATTATTTTGCTTTAATGTTTAACTAGTTATGGACTTGGGTGACAACCGTATTTCATATTTTGTACTCTTTAAATTTCTTTCTATTTTTGCTAAATTTTCAATACAATACGGAAGCTTAGTTAAAATATCTCAGAGTACGTATTGCAAAATGCAAACAAAAATATTACTTCCACCGTTTTTTAATATTTGTATCACTTTAAGTTATTTTTTTACTATTATAAAATGAGGAGGCCTATGTTTATCACAATCTCTCAGTTTATCGGAACAAGTTTTGTTCCTCATGGGTTATGTGTCAAGCTCACAAAGTTCCACTCATAATACATAGGCAGCCTCTAGTCTCTACTAGTGAAAAACACTACATTATTTTTCAAAATGTCATTATGAGGAATAAAAGTGTTCCTCATGATCATGATGAAGAACTGGGGCTCCCTCGTTTATCTCAATGGCAAAGTTGTGATTATAACCCTACTATTCCGTGCCAACTCAATAAAAAGAATAAAAATTAAAATATAAAAAAAGAAAACTGGCGTATTCTTCGTGAACTCAGATCACGCCGTAAACATACTTTGGAGTATGCTGTTTCTTTCTCTCACCTTCCCTCCATGGCCTAATGGCCACCTTTAAATCCAATGGAAAAAGCTTACTATATTGCAGAAATCAAAATTAAGAAACAAAGGATGATTAGTAAAAACAAAAATAGAGTTGGGGAAAAGGGAGTAAAGACAGGAGTGTGAAACAAAGAGGAAGGAAAAGAGGACATGAAAAGAAGAATTACTGCCATGAAAGAAAACATCAAAAGCACAAGATAAACTTCATAATTCTATGTTTTCTCAACCTTGAGCTGTCAGCTATGTGAAATTTAAGTAACCCAGGCCAGAAAGTTTGTGATAAAATTCCAACCTCCAAATATAAAGAAAACCCCTAAAAAAGTTATGAACAAAGGAAATTGTTAACCCGATGGGTGTTTGTCATAGAGGAAGATCTTCAACAATGGAGGAGAGAGATATCATGAAGAATGTTCTTTCTCAATGTAGGATAGAGAACCAACTGCTTTCTTCTAAACTCCGTCAATTCATCAGTTAACACTTAGCATTGTCATTTACCAACATAGCCCTACCTGCCCACCTAAAAATACATTTATACCCCTATCAAGATTATAAACATGTAATCAATAACATAATGCTAAAACAGACACCAAAAATGACACATGCACTTCCTGATTCTGTTTTTTCCCTCCAAAATCACTTTCTCCTTTTTTTTTCTTTTTTTTTCTTTCTATTTTTGATGACATAAACTAATTAATGTAAAATATATTTTAGATATATTCACCAAATCATATAATTGTGATTCACTTTTCCAAAAAAAAATTATATATTTGTAATTTATATATTTTTCATATCTTTTATTATATAAAATTTTATTGTATATATATATATATTATTCCATCTATAACGTTATAATAAAAAAAACAGACATTAAGAACAAGCCGACACTAAAAATGACATGTGTCACTTCCTGATATTGCTTTTTCATCTAAATTTTTTTCACAATGACATCAACTACTTATTGTAAAATATACTAAAAATATTCACCTAATCATATAATAATGATTCATTTACCTAAAAAAAAGTATATTTGTGATTCGCATATTTTCTTTAAAATATTCTAAAATCTATTACTTTGTATATCAAGTGGAGTATATATTATTTCTTAATCCTCATCTTTTAATATGACAATACTCCAGTCCTTCAAAAAAACATATGACAACATTTTCATATGTAGACATGTGCTTCCTCCGTTCTTTTTTACTTGACCCGCTTTGACTTTTACAATATTCACCACCCCTCCTTTGACCGTCTTTTGTGAATAATATATAAGGAAAAACATATCATATGGGATATTTTTAAATTCGTTTCAATAAATACTATCATAATATATAACTTTTATAATTTTTACTTATGAAAAATTAAAGTTATCAATCGTTAAAGTTTTGCATTGGCAAGCGTGATAAAAGAAACAGGTCAAGTAAAAAAAACAGAGGAAGTAGTATTTTATTCCTTCAAATCTTCAATATATTTTATATGCAGTAGTAATTTTGTAACAAAATAATTGATGTGTTTTTGGAATAATTGATTCATTCTATATTATTATATTAATATTATAATAAAAATATTTGTTATTCCTAAATTCTCTATTTTGAAATTTCAAAATGTTTTTATGAATTGGCTTACTAATAGCTAATTTTATTAATAAGATTATCACAAAGTTTTATATGCAGCTGGTCACACCGTGTGGTCGGGATTACTTGATCAGGGGTTAGTCGGACGGTTAGAGACTACTCGATCAGGAGATACCACTACAAAAAAAAATGTCCATATAGAAACGGAATACTACAGGCAGAATTCAATCCGATTCTAATATAGAAACGGAAATTACATAATTCGTCTCTAAAATAATTTAGAGACGGAATTAAAAATATGTCTCTAAATTAATGACGGAATTAAAAAAATATGTCTCTCGATTAAAATCCGTCTCTAATTTAGGGACGGAATTATAATATGTTCTAAACTAGAGACAAATTTCAATTCCGTCTCTAATTTAGAGACGGATTTTTAATTTCGTCCTTAATTTAGAGACGGATTTTTAATTTCGTCTCTAAATTATGTAAAATAGCACTCCGTAATTTAGAGACGAATTATGTAAATTATGTAATTTAGAGACATGTTTTTAATTTTGTCTCTAAATTAGAGACAGGTTTTCAATTTCGCCTCTAAATTAGAGACGGATTTTCAATTCCGTCTCTAATATTTCTTTCACTTATTATCAATTATGTGCGTAGAAGTAAACAATTATTACTTGGTATAGTTGATAAGAGTTTCACCATGTGACTTTGAGGTCACATGTTCAACTCCTACCAACTGCAATTATTGAGACCGGGGATTCAAAGAGCCTTACATGCAAAACCAAGCCGAGTTGAGCCGAGTGAGGTTTCGGATCGGTAAAGGGATTGGGTTAAACCGAATAGCTAATAGGGATCGGGTTTTTGTTGCTACTTTTAGAGACAGATTTTTTATTTTGTTGCTATATTTAGAGACAAATTTTGTAGTGTTGATAGCATCCAATATTAATGATTTGTTGCTATTTTTAGGAACCAACATTAATAATTTGTTGCTACTTTTAGCAACAACCAATGGTAATCTGTTGTCAAAGTTGGCAACGCATGTACCAAGTACAACAACCATCATGGAAACTATATTAAATGAGTGCAATATTACAACAAAATTGTTTTGCAACTGGTAGTCAAAATTTCATGGCAACAACCTTTTAGCAACAACAAATTTTCATTTCCAACCTATTGCTAACTAGAATTGGCAACGAATGTTTGGTGAATAGCAACAAATTTTAGTTGTTGCTATATAGACTTAATTTTTTTTTTTTTTTTTTTTTGAAAGGAACTATATAGACTTAATTTTGTAGTGTACTTTGTAAGATTAATCTTATTTGATTTTTTTTTTAATTTTTAGTTATTTATTTATGTAATTATGTATCAAAAGCAAAACAATCTATATATGTTTTCCTATCCCAAATTGTATTAAATATACAGTAATTACTTATGTTACAATTCAATTTTTTACTTTTTTATCCGCACAACCTTATATTTAATGATCTGGAGAAATAAATCGGGGTTAATATTCCTATCCATATTGTTTAATATAATGTACAATTTTAAAATACTTAACTATTTAGTTAAAAAGAAAATGAAAAACGATACCAATCTATCATTAAAATTTTACAATACTTATTTGTCTTATTCACTCTTTTACTATATTTTATGTTTCATATCATAATATACATAAATAAATATTATGGTTATATTTTGTCTACATACAACATATAAAAGATTTCATGTTTATTTGTTTATTAAAAATATAGTGTTGAATTATAAATAATGCGTAGTAGTAAAATTACCGTGCATGGCACGGGACCTAATATCATAGTATTAATTACAATGTCTATTTGTATAATTTTTTCTTACAATAATTTAAACTAATACTTCCTCCATATTTTATTACTTGCTCCATTTTTTCAGATATGGAGTTTTAATAGAAATAGTAGAAAATATTGTTTTATAATCGAAGTGGGGTTAGTTGAAAAATAAAAAATAAAAAAAAATCTAAAAAAGTAAAATTAAGATACTACCTCCGTTTCATATTATGTGCAACCTTTACTAAAAATGGATGCTATACATTATGTGCAACAAATTTTTTTTTTTTTCTTTTATTTTTAAGTTGTCATTTCTCTCTCTTCACATCAAACATTACTAGAAATTTTGGTTGAGATGCAAGGGTATGGAAAAACAAAAGCACATAAAATGGAGGTAGTTGACTCTAATTCTATGAACAAGGTTGATGATATTTCAAATCTGGTTGTGCAAGATGAAGAGGAAATCGAGGTACTAGATGATGAATTAGATTTAGTTTTGTCTTAGCTATTAATTGACGTAACCCAAGCAATTAATCAAGATGAATAAAATATCCGAGCTATACAACCTATTTCTTTGAGAAAATCATATTTGGTTTCATGATCTATCTTTTTCTAATCGCTTTGATAGTTTGCATATGGAAGTAACCGCGCCGAAAATTGGAATAAGTCCGTGTATATCTCCAAACTTGATCATCTCATGTTATGGTTATTATTAAGCTTAATTGGTGGTAAAATTAGGAGAGGTGGAAAGAATGATCTTCAAGAAAATATGTTTTCATGTTATGTTTGTTTGATTTGGATGATTTCTTGGTTCGAGAAAACTTGAGACAAGTTTTTTTTTCAAGAGGGGGAGAAAGATGCGGATCAAGGATCAAATATTTAACATGATTTATTTTTCCGTATTTATATAGGATAAAGATTAGGAACATTTATCTTTTTATCACATAATATTAGAGTGTGTTAGGATTTTATTTTATCTTTTAGATTTGTTTATCCTATCAGGCGGATTGTAT